AGCCCCCGGTTAGGAGAACCTTGCCCGGCGCAGACAGTGCCGTGACGGAAGGCGGTAGAGGAGACATCGAGTACTGGTAGGTTGGAGATATGATTGTTGTTGTTGTGGGGGAGAAAAATGCCGGGATCTACGGGGCGCTTGGAGATTATGGAAGGACTGCCCCGCGGTCACGGGGTGGTTGGGGGGGGGAGGAGTAGGTTGTAATAGCGCGGATAAGGTGTGCTGGGCTTACGCTGCCATGCAGATGCAGCTTATACGAGACGTGAACATTTTCCAGATTCTAGAGTTACAAGGGTGTATGGAATTATCCTAATAGGGACTAGTGGGGATGTTGCAGGACCTGACAAAAGTGTCCATAGAAAACATGAAAATAGTCTCTTGATACTAAAAGAAGTGGCTGTTCACATCAATCAGGTTGTGTAGTGTAATGGCTATCACTCTGGTTTCTGATACCAGCAATCCCGGTTCGATCCCGGGCACGACCTTTTCTTTTTGCTTGTTTTTTTTTTTTTGGTTTCATAGATTGAATCCCGACTTGAAACTTTTTATTATAATTTTGTTCGGCCTTCCTTAATGTGTAACTACTTATCGTCGCAGATATTTACTCGGAACAAGATATATTTGATGTACATACATGTACTGCTATCCCGATGTAGATGCAATTCCCTTCATAAACTCCTTATTGCTCAAGAAACCCCTCTGAAAAATCAAAAATAAATAAATGAGATAAATAACCGAAACTCCTCCATGCGTCAAATCCCCCAGCCTTCTAATCCGTTGATTATAAATGTACAGGGTATTTTGTGTCGAGATGTCCAATCGAGATGTGAGGAGCGACGATGACGTTGGCGGTGGCGGTGGGAGGGGGATGTGCTCTGGATAATTGGCCCGACTTGATCGCCGCAGAGTTTGATGAGAAGGAAAATTATTCATTCCCATCCAACTTCCTCACATCTCGAGTATGGCCGAGAGAACTTGTCCGGGGCCTATGCCTTGGGCTTCTGGGCAATGATACTATAACTCGTTGTGGCCAGACGCATGCGATCCATCTTGACGAAAGCCTGTCCATCCAAACAGAGACGGTTAATCAAGGTCTTGAAGTGGCGCGGCAGCACATGCACCTTGACGAGCGCAAGGATCGCCTGGCGGAGGGTGCGGAAGTATACATCGACGGTATCGATAAGCGGGGCCTGGAGACCATCGATACTAGCGTTCTCGGACCGCACGACCTCAAACCCAGCCTCCTTCAACGCCGCCTCGAGAGTCTCCTGCGTGGGTGTACCGACCGCGCCGATGAGCGGCTTGACGCGGCGCATGAGCTCCGCGTGTTCCGGGTTACTAGGATCGTAAGCCGGCAGGCTGATCCAGTCCAACAGGGAGATCTTCGAGCCCGGCTTGACGACACGGAACACCTCGCGGAACAGGGCGGGCAGGTCCTTGCACAGACTCAGTGCTTGGATCTGGTAGAAGGCATCGAAGCTCTCGTCGGCGAAAGGCAGGGGGAGGTCGTTGAAATCTTGGGTGACGAAATTATTCTGGAGTCCGCGCTCCTGATTGAAGGCCGCGGCCTGCTCGACCTGGTTCGGGTCAATGTTGAGGCCCGTTACCTGGGCGCCGGTGTGTTGCGCCATGTGGGCGGCGACGCGCCCGCGGCCGCAGCCCAGATCCAACACCTTCATTCCTGTCCTCAAGCCGATGTCGTGCGCGATTGAGCGCTCGTACAGGATCTGATTCTCGAGCACGCTAGACTTGGGGCTCATCCACGGTGGGATGTACATTTTCTCGACATCGCCCAGTGCGCAAAGGTGGTTCAGGACTCCGTAATAGGACTTCAAGCAATCACCGACCTTTTCTTGGTAATTGGGGCCCAGAGCCTCGGTCATTTGCTTCTCGTCGGACCAGTCAAGGTTATAGATGACGTATGACGCCATGAAATCGTCAACTTGTTTCGGGGTCAAGTGCGACAGGTGTCGGAATGCCGTCCAGAAACTCTTCCACCGCTTCGGGGATGCCGAATTGTCGAGGTCCTTGCCATGATGGCCGAGTGTGGCCACCAGCGCATTCTGCTTCTCCTGCGCGACCTCGTCGAGCGAGCTATCACTCTCCGAGCCTCGTTCGCTGCGCCCGGGATGGCGCGGTGTGTCCAGGAGTGTTTGCGTCATGATAGCAGAGCTTTGTACAAGCTATTATTATATAAAAAAGAGGTATATATTAGGTGAGGTTGGGGGAAAGGGGGTATGTGTAGTAAGTAACCAGCGGCTACAGCCCTGTAGGGGATCTGGCGAGATTTATAAGCACTACGGCTCCGAGCCACAGTCACTCCCTTTATTCATTGAAAAATCATTCGCCGAGACAGCTGTATGGCCAGTAGCCACATAGTGGATTTCGTCACCAGACGAGGAAGCTCTTACCGGTTATCCCGGCAATAATAATGGTTTGATCCCGTTTAAGACGGCAGAGACCCGAAGAACAAAAATTTTCATTCGGATAACCAAGAACCATCATTCCCAATTGCTTCACTTTTTTTGCCATCCTTCTCTAGGGCTTTCCGTTCTCGCTCCGAATTCCAAAATCCAATTGTGGCGGAGGAGGTGAAGGAGGGCCGTTGCACGCGACTACGACATGCCCAGGCATGGATGACGCGGGTCCTTAAAAGGAAATGAGTATCGTCATGGAAACGCCGATCTAGCCCTGGAGGCCCACTTCTATAGTTTGAATACTGTATTCTATATGGGTATCTAGATACATGATAATAATCGACTAGCCAACATCATCGTACATGTTGATCACCCAATGTGGGATGTCAGATATACAATACGAAGTATACAAAGAAAAATATAGACGTAGTGCATCATTACAGCGGCCTAGACCCTAATCTCCGAAGACCTTAAGCTTCCCTATTAACCGTCGAAACACCCACGGTTCCGGAACTTCCTCCCGAGTCGTTTCAAGTGATCCAGAACTTGGTGAGACGGATTGGCAACCTTCGAGAAGCTTTTGTTTTTCTATTCCTCTATTCTTTTTTTTTTTTCTTTTGGTCTACATACCAATCCAAGCAAAAGGTCAAGTAAATAACCCTAAAGCAGATGATGAGAGCTGATTGAACAGATTATGAGGGACTTGATATATTGGCGACCCACATGGATCGTCCGGGCGAAAACTCAACTCCGAGACCCTACCGATTCCCGTATTTCCGGGTCACGTGGGCTCCAAATCGAGTATTATGCTCCTATAAAGAGCCCTTGGCATTGCTTCTATCTCCGGTTCAGCCGAAAGATTACTAGGGTATCTTTATGTCGAGCTCAGGTAGCATAAAGCAGGATTTTTAGAATATGCACCTGGGCAAGTCTATGGTGTGAGTCATAAATATGACCTTGAAATTACTCTCACGTCATAGTTCAAGCCACCTGCATGCACCGTTGGCGTTAGTGCCTAGTGGATAACAAAGTACTGTGTACGGGAGTATGGCCAGACACCAAGACCAAGTGGGGGAAAAGATGAATCAGATCAACCTCTATGAAAAAGAAGGTGAGCAGTTGAGGGCTACCTGTGTCGATCAAATAAGCATTTCAGGTTTCTCAAGAACAGTTGGAGAAATCTGCCTGAATTTCGTTTTCCGGAGCTGCCTTTTTCGGCCACAGGTGACGGGTGTCCACGGCCCATTGATTCCCACCATGACCCGTGTGGGTGGACCCACGACTTATGCACGCACCTAGTGCTGGCACGTGATATCAGCGCTTGTTCCAAGGTTATACTGTCAATAGTACTCAGTACTTATCAAGAGTACTCTATTAATACCTGTTAACAGTACAATCTCGTGTTGTATGTTGTGTATTCTTTTTGTATTCTACTTCCTAAAAGATATCAGAGGATTCTCAGAAGGTACCCATAAAAAGATACTTTGATCCCATACTTCTGAGCCATAAAATTATGTACCATATACCGCATGATCTTTTACTCCATTACCGTATTACTAGGAATATATTACCTAAAACAATCTATCAATGTCAGGGGTAATTATACAAGGGGCTCGTATTGCTAACTACTTTGAGACCCCTCAAAGCGATCCAGATCCTTCCGTGAACTAACCTTGTATCTACATAATTGAAACCACCTGCATCACATAAGTAAATATGGCAGTCCGATAGTTAGCAAGGCTGTAGACAACGGCTTTGGCTCAGTCGAACCACAGGCATATACGAAGGATGTTGTACGGAATGGTTAGCGAACCTTGGCCATAATTCAATGGTGGATTCCTTCGGGACCCACTCTAGATGAGTCGAACTGTTTGGGGAGATAAAGTCCTTGGCCTTTTTGTTCCTTACTGTTTCATGACAAATATTCGAGTAGTTATGAACTTCAGCACTCCAATTGTCGCCTTAATCGAGAAAGTCCACACAAGGTGGTACGTTTCCCATTGGCTATGTTGAGCATCGCTGCACTTGTTTCCAATGTTATGGTCAGATTTGTATCATGTTTCATCCAATGCAACTAGAAGTTATGTCGGTTGTCAACCTCTCAAAGCCGTGGATTCGTTATGCACCGCGCAAGCTCCACGATGGTGCTTTCCAAGCTATTAGATAGTACGATCTGCTAATCGGACATGAGCCAGTGGTACAGCAGCAATCCATACATAGCCAATCCATACATAGCGAGGCTCAATGCCTTCCGCACAAGAGATCGAAGACTGACAAATCAGAGCCGCGGACCATCGTGGCGGGACCACCCCCATACTGGATGGAGTAGGAATGGAACTATGGAGTACTCCGTACTAGAATGAAATACAATGCATCCTCTCATTGGCTATCAAATTCACTAGATTTGTTTTGCCCACATGCAATCTCAATTAGAGATTTAAGTTGTAGACGTCGTATCGGGAACGACGCTCGTCCACGAGATAGCAATTTCATTATCATATCCTAAGAGCTGCATTTCCATTGCCAGACAGGACCATATTGCAGTGTCCAGCATAAACCAACTTCGCCACCGAACTAGGAGGTTCACAGCTCAATCTTGCCGCACGCGCCACCAAGCCAATACCGCGTCAGCGAATGCACGAACTCGGTGTTCTTTTGCGTGAAATCGTACAACTTAGAAGCGCGTATGTTGAGAATCTTTCCGTCGAAATCTGCCTCCAGGACGCGGGCATGACAATGACCCATGAGAGACAGGACCAGCATCTACCAGAGCAAGGTTAGTAGATTGTCTAGAATCCATCCATTATGGAAGGCCTTACCGGGGCAACAACATGAGCGCGCAGCCGCTTGGATCTCAAACGACCAGCCATGATACCGGTGATGGTCATGATTTCTCCGCGAAGCAGTCGACCATCCCCGTTCGCTTCACTTTCCAGGATGACCTTGAAGTGTGGATAATGCTTCCACAGCGTACCAGTTGAAGTCGATACATTCCAGCAGTTGACCAAAACATCTATAATCTCCAAGTCTGTCATGAACGGTCAGCGGGCAGGACAAGGTAGCTGTGAGAGGCAACTTACTCTCGATATTGGCCAGAGGGTGGCGGATTATGGGGGTACTTATCCGATGCATATGACAAGCAATCACCAAAGTTGCTAGTAAGAAAAGACTCAGTAGCGCGAGTTTCCCACATGATGAAATCCAGGTTAGGCTTTTGTTCTAGCAGCTCGTTCTCCTCCTCCTTCGACGGGAACGGCAGGTCTTCTTGGTATGGCATGAAGAATTGTGGATGGTGTTGGGTATCCCTTCAAGGGACAAGGGAATGTGGCAAATACCGGCCACCTTCAGTTCAGAGGGTTCAATATGCAGATTTGGGCTTTTCTTGATCAGCTTCTCAATCTCAGCCAACGCGTGACGACGTTTAGTCCGCTCCAGGACAAATCTTCCTCCATCTTGAGTTTGACGAGGATGGATGAGAATATTGCTTATATGACCAGCGAAAAGAGAGCGAACAAGAGATTAGCAAGGTTGATAGCTAGATGGAAGATGAGATGAAGGGGGCGGTTTTCTCTATTTGGGACACAAGGGCGGGCTTTGTGGCCTGAGGCATAACGCACCAATACTTGTTACTTGCTTGGCAACGTCGAGCGATCTCTAATTTCACTTAGCGGCAACACTGAGTGAATAATCAAGAGGATGAGGTTAGCGCTTGCTATGATCATGACTTGGTGCCCAACACAGGGAAGATGTCATGGGCGCTTGGCAAGAATGCCCTACTATGACCCAGAGAGCAGTCCTCGGAGCCCGATGCTTCCTATTTAGTAAACAAGATATATTCCCCGCAATACAATGGCAGCAAACAAGAGTGGCAGTCTCTCCGCGGACGAGAATGAATGGAATGAATGGAGAGATACGTACTAGGTCTCCAGTTTGACCATCCATGATGCCGCCCTCACTTCTGCGTCTACCATCTGCGAAAAGCAGTACTTGTTACTCCAGGTTCTCCAGATCGGCAGTGACATTTAAAAGCTTAGCTCAAATCAATAGAAGCTGGAAAAATAGAAAATAGAAGCGGACAACCTGCTTGCAACATTCAAATCCTGGGCCGACTACCGGGCAAGTTTCCAAAGCCGCCCTATCCTTCAGGGACATTTGCCTTGGCTAGCATGTATCGAACTCAGGCCTCAGTAACCACCGATCAAACCTTCCAATCGAACGTGGCAATCTCGCCCATTGCAAATCGTACACGGTCCAAGGCGGGTGGATCCAAAATGGGTGATTTAACGCAAAAACTTTCTCAATCATATTCCCAAGCCCCATCGAAGTCAACTGGGACACTGTCAGACTTCTCGGATGATGAGGATACTCCAAATACCGGGGAACGGGGACACTCCCTTTCATTCTCTAGGGCCTAAGGAGATTGCATAAGCTCTCTAGATACATGTGGCGATGTTCCATAGTTGCTATATCGATGTAGGTATACAAAGCCAGACATTTTCTAGGTTGGATGAATGAGAAAATTGGCAAAACGCCTGACCGCACCGCAGAGTCTGTGCACTCATCTCCACCTGTGATATTCGCACGGATGTCGATCGACGCCCATGTGGAGTGTCAGTACATATATGACCCACTGGCATCACATTGGCTTTTCTCGTAGTTCTAGAGGCAGTTTAAATAAAGTGTACAACGTACAACATACGATTCATAACTTAGGGCAGAGCCGCATTATATAGTGAGTTAGCACTAGGTATCAGTGTTCACATATATATAATGAACATCTGGTAATTTACAACTTGTAGTTCTCCGCTGTATACGGCTATTAGGTGCATCTTATGCACGAGGATAGCAACATTAGTGCGCAATATAGGTGAGCTGGGTTGGCAGTCGAGCGCACGAAGAGATGAAAAAAGAAGTCATCACCTGGATTGATTAGCGATCTGAACGGCCGGGTGATACAGAATGCAGGCGGACACCAATTCAAGCGGTTTAAGGGATAAGAAGAAATACAATGCAAACTATCAAGCCGCTGGACTAAGGAGCAGTACTTTCACCGCGGCGTTGCCCATTTCTTGACCGATACCCAAGATGCATGATCGAACAATGCAGTATCTACCTCTTATTGTCTGTACAGTGTCAGAGGCCATCTGGTAGCTTATTGTATCTTAATGATGCGAGTTCATATTAGATAGAGCTCTCACTCGTGACTGTCGGTTGAAATGACCAAGTAACTGCAAATCTGTATGCAGTACTCGCAACGCATTGGTGATTTTGCAGGATGCATCTGCCGGCCGGTATCACCGGTATTTGATGTTAAGGTTAGATCTAATAGCGATATTAGCAATTGCAAAATTACATTTCATCATTCCGGACAATTTGGTCGGTAGTCGGTGTGCCCAGCATTTGGGCACGTCAGCCTTCGCTGGAAGTGCTGTTTGATCCAGCCGGATCGCCACGGGTGCCTTTTTATTTCTCGGCTATTTTTGGGAGGTGTCTCTCTCACAGAGGCTCGGATGGTATTGATGTCTGTAATAATTATATCCTAGTCAGGCTAGTGTGAGAAGGTGAAGTGTACGCACCGCGATGGGAAGTCGTCAACCCTCATCAGCAGGCACGTTTTTATTTGTTGGCATGCTCTTCGATAAAGCAAGCAAAGCCTCGTGGCATCTCTTCAATAACAACACCGGATGTTGATATCCCAGTCATCCGACATAGACTGTCATATCGCACCGTGGTGCCTAGGGAGTAAGTATGTTCATGCAAAGCGTACCGCAGTGTGCTTTATTACTATTCTTAGCGGATACTATTCTTAGCGGACTACCTTCAAGTGCCCTCAATCCAACTCATAAAGGATAAGCACCACGAGGAAGACTCGACAAGTTCAGAAGGTGGATTAGCTCTTCGTTTGGGCCTGAAAATCACCCAAAATCGGTCCACCAGGACTGCTATTATCTCCGGAAAATACCCCATTAAGAACCGGGCCAGAGTCTGGTAGGTGCCTCGCCACGGGTAAGATCCGTGTGAGATCTCAACTGAAGAAGTCCGATTTTGGGCATTTTCAGACCCAGACAAGGAGCCAATCGACCCCCAACTGACGTCGACTATGTCGAAGAGACCGTAATCATAAAGCCGATATGTCATGTGGGAAAGCGCAGGGTGAGGCAAACCCCTGTTCGCGACGGGTTGGTTTCAGGTTACAAATCAAAGCAAAAGCCAGATCACAGGCTGACCGCCTACAGACTTTTATTCTGCCGCTTCGTCATTCTCCGTTAAAGCCGAGTCGGCCAGTCGGGAGGCCGAATGGCCGGTGAATGGCCGGGGAAGACGAGGCGGAAGTTCCGAGGAAAGGAAAGAAGAAAAAGAACCGGAAGGAAAACGTGACTCACTTCCAGGGACCCTTTTTCCAAGGTTTCAAGCGAATATCTTGATGTTGATTGGTGTCTATCGCGTACTTTTACTTTTACCACCTGATCTGTTCGAATCCAGCTTACGGAGTAGTATGGGAGTGCTGGATACTTGCAGTCGATGTATCCTCGAGACGACCCGTTTGGGAACCCCCGCGGTATAAGGAAGATCTGATATGCCAGATACAATGCATCAATGTACCAGTACAAACATCTAAGACTTGGATACATAGACATGTAGGAAATCCGAGGAACAAGGCGGAGCAATCACAAAAGCTACGTAGATCCAACGGAGTACGGACTATGAAGAGGATTCTCCGGAGAAGATCGGCCCTAACCAGCTGGTCCACTGTGAAACTCCATCTCCTTCCAGAAGCCCGTATTCCTCCCTCGTTCTTATTTTTCAGGCTTCCATTCTCTCTCTCTTTCTCTCTTTTTCTCTCTTTTCACCAAATTTCTGGCCCTGTCAACAACAGGTCCTTTTAATACTATCATCCTAATCTTGCATCTGCGCGTTCATTGGCGACAGGCAGTCGTCAGATGAACCTGCACTTTCGATATTATCTTGAGTGCAAGGTAAGAAAAAGCACGTGAAATTCATCGACAACTACTGACTGTGGTCCAGCATTACCTCTTTAGAATAAAGAGGTTGCCTATCAGATAAATGGTCTTCAAACCATTCACCCATCTCGCGCGCCAGAGTTTCACCAAAGCCTTTACTCATGGCTATGCTCAATCCGTAGTCGCCGCGTCCCAGTCATACGCGTCGACAACCCCCTTCAACCCGCTCGCTGCCCAACCCGCCAAATTCTCCCGCACAACCCAATTACAGAATGCCTTCTCCAATGCGTCCAGTTCATCCGGTGCTGGCGCCAAGACAAGTCAAGGAGGATCTGGAAATGGAGATCTCGGTCTAGCTGCCTATTATGCCGCATGGCAGAACGCCCAGCAGACCGGTGATGACAGCGATTGGACCCAGTTCGAGTTCAAGCGCCGTATTGGTTGGAAGCCCTCGGCGGAGGATGCTGACAATATTCACGAAGACCGGGCTGCGTCCGATTTAGCTCCTCATCCCACCAAGGCTGCCGTGAACGAGGATGTTAGTGCCCAAGTGGAGGAGGCTGTGGCCCGTGAGATTCAGATCCAGGAGGAGCAGGCACAGGCCGAGGAGGCTGCGCTGGGGGCAGAAGCGAATGCTGAACCCGCTGTTGAGGATGCCGTCGTTTCGGAAGCTGTCTCTGAAGCCAACCAGATTGCTTCGGACCGTATTGTGCGATTGGCCAACTCCAACAAATTTGCAGAAATCCCCGCTGCGTTTGAGACTCTGCTCCGAGAGGGATTTACTCCGACTGTCGGGGCATATAATGCCCTGCTGCTCGCTGCCATCCGTCTTCACCCTGATGCCGCTCAGGCTATCTCCAAGGCCCTCGATGTCTACTCTGACATGCTTCGTCGAAGGGTAATTCCCGATGAAGATACCTATGAGACCCTTGTTCAGCTTCTGGTCACCCGGGCTCACGACATGATCAAGGCCAAGGAGGCATTGGAGCAGGAACGCGTTCGATTCGGTGGTATGGAAGAGCCTGGCAAGTTCATGCTTCAGTCGAGTGAACTTGAGCGGGACCTTCTCGCTGAGGATACTTCCCTGTCCATCGCCGTCAAACTCTTTGATACCGCCACGGCACGACACAATCGCCTTGTCTTCCCGCTCGAGATGTACCGTCACCTTATCATTGCCTGTGCCAAGGAAGGTAAGGTGGAGGATATGATCCGGATTTACGCCCATATGGAATCACAGAAAATAACTCCACATGCTACCATCTTCCCGTCCATGATCACCGCATTTGCTTCCACTGGTGATCTCAGAAGTGCCGTTGAATGTTATAACGAGTACCGAGGGCTCGCTGTCTCCGATGACAGTGGCGTCTTCAGTATCGTACAGCGCCAGGACAGCCAGGTCTATGCTGCTGTGATCCGTGCTTACCTGTCATGTGGCAAAGAGGAGGGTGCCGCGCAGTTCCTTGATCGTATTCGTTCTTCGTTCGACGAGGTAACCGAGGGTCGCCAGGACCGGTGGTCTGCGGTGGAAGCTGTGATTGTCCAAGATGCACTTGTGCAACACTCGCTCAACACCGGAGACTACAGCAAGGCATTGGACCAGGCCAAGAACCAGTTGCATGATGAAGCCCGGAATCAGGCCATTTCTCGCATCTGTATTGCTGCGGCTGATGCGGGCGATCTCCCCACCGCTTCTGAGGCTTACGATAGCCTGCCCACCGCACCCGACGTACGACAGAACCCAGCCATTTCACTTCTGGCCCTTCAGGTCCGCCGGGGCAATGTTTCGGCTGCCCGTTCCTTGTGGATCATGCTGAACACGGTGGGTCAGGCAACCCCGGACCTGGTCCAGCCGACAGCTATGTATGCGGTCGCTTTGCTCAAGAGTGGAAATGTCGAGGAAGGTCTTCACCAGGCCCGCAATATGTTTAAGCGTATCCGCAACGCCACCCAAGATCAACACGCTGCTGTCGCCAACCTCGTCAGAGAACAGATTACCGAGTCACTCCATCTCTTTGGTCGCGTCCTTATGCAATCGACCGCGGTTCTCTCGCCTCAATCATCCATGACACTCTTGTGGTCCATGCTAGAGAATGGTGGTCTAGTTTCTCCTCTCGCTGAGCACGCTGTCGCCAACCTTGGCCCTATCGGCATCTCACAGCTCAAGGCTGCTGACCTCACCCTGGCACTCCAAGTTCAGGCTGGCATATTGGTCAGCAGCGGTTCCATGTTGTTCGATGTCGCTCATCCCGTTCGCTTTGCGCACATGCTTGACGTCGCTCTGTCTTCTGCTCTCCCTCTGGATCTCTACACCACTGGCCTCATCGACCAGGCTGTTGGCAAGCTCTTTGTCAGTCGTCCTGATGTCGTCAAGAAGTGGCAAGATTATCTGGAGGCAGGCTCCCAGACCTCCGTTTCACCTTCTCAGATGTTCCTTTCGTCGGATCGTCAAAGCCCCGTCTCCATGGCGGAAACATCGATCACGACTCCATCTGTGGCTCCCGAATCGTTTGATCCTTATGCCCACGCGACCGATTTCCGCGGATCCGCCATTATCGCGGAGGAGCTTGAGAAGACCACCGGGCGCACTGAGAATCACCTCAATGAGGCCCTAACTCGTCTTAACAACATGCGCCGCATTGGTCGTCACCCGCGCTACATCACCTATGCTAAACTGATTACCGCTGCGGCCAAGGCTGGCCGCATGACTCTGGCTCACGACATTCACAGTATGGCACGGACCGATGTTCCCCTCGATATGAACTTCAGCGTTGTCAAATACGGCTGGGTCTCGATTCTTGATGCCATGGTCGCTGCTTGCCTCACCCTAGGTGACCGCAAGCTGGCTGCTCAGTACCACCAGGAGCTTCTCGCTCTCGGTTCCGCACCCTCGGCCAACACTTTCGGCTTGTACATCACCACGCTCAAGGAGTCTACCAAGACCTTCGACGAGGCTACCGAGGCCCTCAGGGTCTTTCACCGTGCCGTTGCTGAAGGCGTGGAGCCCACTTCCTTCCTGTACAACGCGCTCATCGGCAAGCTAGGCAAGGCCCGCCGCATTGACGACTGTCTTGCGTACTTTGCCGAGATGCGTGCCAACAATGTGCGCCCGACAAGTGTTACCTACGGAACCATTGTGAATGCCCTTTGCCGTGTGAGCGACGAACGCTTCGCCGAGGAGATGTTCGAAGAGATGGAGTCCATGCCCAACTACAAGCCGCGTCCCGCGCCTTACAACTCCATGATCCAGTACTTCCTTAACACCAAGCGCGACATCAGCAAAGTTCTGGCCTACTACGAGCGTATGCAGGCTCGAAACATTCAACCCACCCTGCACACCTACAAGCTTCTCATTGACGCACACGCTTCCCTGGAGCCAGTAAACATGGCCGCCGCCGAAGCCGTGCTGGAATCCATGAAGGCCGCAGGCCACCACCCGGATGCCGTGCACTATGCTTCGCTAGTGCACGCCAAGGGCTGCGTCCTGCACGACCTCGCCGGCGCGCGCAAAGTCTTCGACACCGTTGTCTCCGACCGCCGTGTGCGCCTCCAGCCATGCCTCTACCAAGCCCTCTTTGAATCCATGGTCGCCAACCACCGTGTCACCGACACCGAAGAAGTCGTCCAGAACATGTTTGCACGCAAAGTTGAGATGACTGCCTACATTGCCAACACACTGATCCACGGCTGGGCCGCCGAGGGTAACGTGACCAAGGCCAAGGCCATCTACGACAGCATTGGCATTCAGAAGCGAGAGCCCAGCACCTACGAAGCAATGACTCGTGCATTCCTGAGCGCCGATGATCACGCCAATGCCGCCACCGTCGTCCAGGAGATGATGTCGCGCGGATACCCTTCTGCGGTGGCCGGCAAGATCATCGATCTCATCGGTGTTTCTTCGTCTCTCTAATTTCTCTTGGCTGTGTATGTGACCAGGTGATACCCATTTAATGTTTGTGTTGCACCCCTACAATCTCTCTGCCAGGGCTGGATCCCTGTGTTGGGATATTTCCGGTTCGGCGTCTGCAGGGCGGCAGTTGGATATACCTGGTGGGATATCTATTATTTGTTTTTGGATTTACGATATATTTTGGCATCCAGCGAAGGTCCGGCGTTTAATTTGGCGATCAAAAAGGGCGTCGTGCATTGAAGCACTGTATACCACTGTGATTATTCCTGTTCATAGACATCTCAACTCCCCCACCGCGTTTAAACGCGAAAATGAAAATGAAGCAGAGTGAATTACTTAAACTGTTAAACATGTTGTCTGATTTTCTATAACTAACTATTGTACTCCGCATTCTCCAAGGAATGGCATGACGCCTCGGGAGTTTCCGCTGAAAACGTCTTACAGGATTTCTGCGGAACTCACAGCTTCCAACTTGGACTTTTCTTCAATCTCACAAATTCGAGGTATTACACTTATGCCATTCACTCATCGTCTTCCATGCAGACTTGTTTACCCTTGATTCTGCGTTCAGCCGTTGACTCATTCCTCCGCACCGTTCCCCGCCAACCCCGCCAACTCCGATATTCCTCAACCAACTCAACCAACCAACCCGGCAATCACAAGCCAACTATGGCCCAAGAGGAACGCCAGACAGACGCCGGGAGGCGTCCAAAGAAGCTAATTTGTAAGTCCAAAGTCTACATCTCAAGCCATCCCTCTGCAAAAGATCCGACCAACCCCTCCCCAACCCATACGAACCTCAAGTTAACATCAATCTCCCAAAGTCGCACCAGGTGACATTGCACCAACCTCCAACAAGTCCACCCAAGATGCCCAACCCCAAGCAATCCCCGCAACAACCACCGACAAAACCGCAACCGAAACCGAAGTCCTCTCGAACGCCGCACGCGCACACCAGTTCGGCACAAACCCACCCCTAACCATCTCACAAATCCACGGCACGGATCCCCTCTACCAATTCCACAACTGGTTCCGCGACTCGCGGCTCCCAGCCTCCTCCGCCCCAGAAACATGCACCCTATCAACAGCCTCCCTGCCCTCGGGCCGCGTTAGCGCACGCGTCGTATACCTGAAAGAACTCGACGAGCGCGGCTGGGTTGTCTACAGCAACTGGGGTAGTAGGGAAGGCAAGGGCGGACAAGTCTTCGGGCTCGGCGAGAGCGCCGATACACTGGGCGCCATGCCAGAACCGGGCTCACAGCCAACCGTGACCTCTGAGGTCGGCTCGGGAAATAAATGGGCCGCGCTGACGTTCAGCTGGGCGAGTGTTGAGCGTCAGGTCCGTATTGAGGGCTTGCTTGAGCCGCTTAGTCGTCAGGAGAGCGAGATGTATTGGCGGACCCGCGAGCGCGGCAGTCGGATTGGGGGATGGGCGAGTTGGCAGAGTAGGGTTTTGTGGTCTGCGGAGCCGGCCCAGATGGAGCAGAATCAGCGGAGGAAGAGTGTGGCGAAGTTGCTAGACTCGGTTGTTCCGGCGGATATTGATCAGACGGATGTTGATGATGGGCGTGCGCTACTGGAGTCAAAGGTTAAGGAAATGGAGGAGAGGTTTGCGGGTGTTGAAGATATTCCCCTGCCGCCTTTCTGGGGTGGTGTGAGGCTTGTGCCGGAGTCTGTGGAGTTCTGGCAAGGACGGCGGAGTCGCTTGCATGATCGATTCCGGTATGTGCGTATTGAGGGTGAGGGGGCGGGTGCTAAATGGCGAGTTCAGAGGCTGTCGCCGTAGTGATGGATAGAGATTAGTTGCATATCTACTGGTATTATACTCGACGTTTTAATCAAACAAGTGCTACTTGAGCTATCGTGATGTTTCGCGTCGATCATCCATATCAGCCTCCCTTATCTGTCACTATCAGTCTTGGCACGCAAGCTCCTTCAACGTCACTCCAAAATACCTAGCCCTTGAGTTCTACGCTACTTGCACATAGCCTGCAAGCCTATAAAAAGAGCCTGATAAATTACAGGATATACAGTTATATATCAACCGCAGTCATGTCCACCTCAACGCCTCAGTCAATCCCTCAGTCTTCCACATCCCCCTGGATCGTGCTCGCAATAACGAGCGGCGCCTTCGCTGCATTGAACGGTGTTTTCGCGAAATTGTAGGTGGATTATCTACCCTATAACAAGATAGGAGAAATACTCTATATATACAAGCTAAAAAGCTATATAAGCTATGATCCGTGTAACCACGAACCATGCTAACGTTCCACAGGACCACGGACGACCACACAACGGCCTTCGCGCAATCCCTCGCTCACCTCTTCGGTCTCGAGTCATCGCCTGTGATTGAGATGCTCACTCGAGGTGTATGTTTACACCCCTTCTCTTTGTCTCTGGGCTATGCATGTCTCTGGACTATTTATCTACTACAATATACATGTATAACTGGGTGTTATACTGTAATTCTGTTACTAACGCAATACCCAGGCCTGCCTCGGCTTAAACGTCCTCTGCAACATAATAATGTGGGCACTCTTCACGCGCGCGCTAACGGCTGGCCCCTCGACGGTCAAAGTCTCCATCACGAATACGGCGTCGAATTTCTTGGCGACGGCGCTGCTGGGAATGGTTGTTTTTCAAGAGGCGGTTGGTGGGCTTTGGTGGTTGGGGGCTGGGATGATGGGTGCTGGGTGTATTTTGGTTGGGATGCGGGAAGGGGCCTAGCTTTGGGATGGGTTTGAGGTTAGGTGTTATATAGGTTGTTTGGATCTATAATCTGTAATTGATCTAGAGATTTTGGATACGTTGATGGGATTTGGGTTGGCTTTGGTAGTATGTACGGAAGTGATATCGAGTATGGGGTTTGTAGATGGATCTATAGTATAGCAATAGATGTAGGAGTGACGTATAGCCATCTATCACCACATGATGTGCAATTAAAGAGTCAATCTCCACTCCTCAAAGGCCTTTTGGCAATCCTCCAGCACATCTAGACCAAGGGTTTGCCCCTGCCGAAATGAAGACAGCCATGTCCAATCGCTCTTCCGGGTAACTCCTGCATATCCCAACAGGAAATCCCGGATCATTTGCAAAAAGCCATCTGGGATGTGAAAAAGCTTCCGATTCATGATTGCTCCTTGAACATTTCGGGCTGTGCGTGCTTTTCGGCATTTCTCGTAGAGAGTAAGCACAGCAGCTGTGAGATCTTGAGCTGAAGATCGCGTGGATATTGAGGGATCGCTTCCGGAATTTCTAGGATCCAGATAATGGACCTGCAATAGGCCAAGAAGCTTGCCAATGACTGCTCCGTCTTCGACAGCCATTGCAGCCCCTTGTGCTTGATATGGCAGAGTGGGGTGGCAGGCATCACCAAGCAAGGCAACAGATCCCTAGTAAGTCCTAGTTAGCAAGTTCGTGATTGGAAGGACATAGTATTGTACCGACCTTGGTCCACGATTCAAGCTCGGAGAGGTGTGTCAATTTCCATTTATATACCGATGGCACACACGAAACCAGCTTTTGTAATCTAAAAAGCGAGAAGCATATTAGGAAATTGCAGTCGACTATTCCAAGGGTCCTTACGTTTCATCCCAGTTTGCATAGCTCTCTCGCATCTCCTCAATATCTCCCTGCTCTCTGCGCGAATCCAATGATAAGGTATCGGGCCGCACGAGAACAAGGTTGAACTCATTTCCACCACGGAGAGGATAGAAAATCGTATGCTTCTCCGGTCCCAACCAGCTTGTGACGGCAATTTTCTGACACAGTTTGTTTACTCTTTCATCACCCAAAGACTCCAGCTGCTCTCGTGAAAAGGTTGCTCGATAGGCCATGTCGCCCGTGGGGACTGGAGAATGAGGAGATTCAAGAATAGCCCTTCGGACCGTAGACATTTGACCTTTCCTTGTCAGTAGAGATGGTTAAATATATATTCGACAAAAGATCTATAAACGTACCGTCAGCACCAATCACAATATCTGCCGATATGCGTCTCCCGCCAGCAAGAAGAACGGCTGGCTGCTCGGTGTAAATATTCTCTACTTCTGCCCCCAGTTGAAGGACCGCACCGAGTCGGATTGCCTCATCAAGAAGAATGCGATGATAGTCCACCCGATGAATAATTCTGCAAAGGGTAAGAGTCTGACAATGTCGCGCCAAGGCAATCAACCACGTACATCCACGGCGCCCCGAACTCCTCCGTGATATCGTCCCCAAATGGCATTGATCGCAGAAGACGACCATCTTTGTACCTCCGAAAATCCACTTGTTGCACCTGACTTCCTTGCTCCAGTAGTTGGGGAAGCAGGCCAAAGTCGCACATTATTCTACCGCCATTTGGTGGGATTTGGATTCCTGCTCCAACTTCGTGGACTTTGGGGGACCGCTCGAGGATTTCCACGTCGATGCCCTCACGGCGACAGGCAATTGCACATGCTAGGCCACCTAGACCTCCGCCGACAATAATGACCTTCATGTTCTCCGTTGGTGTCAAAGTGATGTTCAGGGAACTGCGTCAGGTCCGAATTAGGACTAGTGCACATTCCGAGACCACCGTGCAGTTAGTGTGCAGAAATATATCCACGGATGTATAGGACTTTAGGTTCAGTTCATGGGTGACAAGATGGGTTGGTTGCATTGTTATAAGACCGAATAGAAGTTACATATTTTGTGAAGGGGTTGTGGATTGAAACATCCCAAGGTCGCCCCGGATACAACCACACGTAATATCCAAGACGACACGACTTTTCAAAGACACAAGCTATCAACTTAGTATATTTTGTTGTCATTGTGTTTTATTTCTTGAAGGTGTCCCCAAGAGTCGGTGGGCCGGCACGTGACTGAGCGATTTCCCTGTCAGCGGCCTATCTCAGTTCAGACAACTTTTCTCACCAATATCTAGAAGCACACATAATGCAACTATTCTCTTGGCCTCGGTCACATCTTCTAGAGATCGGCGACCAAGATTGGTGCCCATCGTGGCTTCATCGGCACGAGCAACTGGTTCTCACCCAACTGTGGAATCTTCGAGCTCCCGGGTGGAGCCATGGAAATCTTGCGAAACAGGCATGTGTAGTGTTCAAAGAGCATTTTAAAGATCTTTCCTCTTACACAGTTTTGGACATATGTGCCGGTGCCGGTGGGCCTACCCCAGTCCTGGAATCGGAGCTTAATAAAGAGCTCGAATCCGAGGGTAAGGGCCCTGTTCATTTTGTGTTGAGCGATCTTTACCCCCATATTGAAGAGTGGGAGCGAATCTCGAAGAAGCAGCAGAATGTCACTTATATCGAGAGTGCGGTGGATGCTCGAGCTGTTCCTCGATTTGCAGAAAGTTCGAAAAAGGAGTGTCGGATCTTCAACATTTGTTTCCATCACTTCGGAGACGAAGATGCAGCAGGAATACTGAAGAGTGCAATTGAGACCGCCGATTCGTTTATGCAAGTCATCAATCTATTAAAACCACTTGTTATATAAGCTAATCCGATCCCCTTCAGCATATTCGAAATCACGTCACGCGATCTTTGGACTTGTCTATGTTCGCCTTTGGTCTTCTTTTGGACTTTCTTTGTAACTCTTGTTTGGTACTGGGATTCGCCAGTCCATCTCTTTTTCACATTTATTCTGCCCGTAGCGCCTCTGACTATCTTTGTTGATGGGTTTATATCCTGCCTCCGAACTCGCACCACAAAGGAAACCTGGCAACTGCTAGATCAGCCAGATCTTGATCTCACCAACTGGACCTTCCACAGTGGACAAAAGACTGTTCAATTTCCTTTCATCACTTTGTATTACCATGTCGGCATCAAATCATAAGAGGGAAAGGGCTATGTTCATCTAGCTTGTTTTATATGTTTGCCTGCACATCTGTCTGATAATGCAGGTCTTTATTCCTATATATGGCTTGATATAACTCCAAATTACATCTTCTATTCTGCCCTCTTTTTCCATTGTCCGCCTTTGTCATGATTTGGTAATGAAGCTATATATACCTGTGATGATGCCCTATATACCAAAACGGGAGCGGCCTTGATGACCGCATTCTATGCCGTTATCGAGAAACTATCCAGTCCCTTAAACAAGACCGGAGCTTCAATTATCCTCCTTTTCCTTCTCTTCCAACTCACTATTCTCTTTTATTCAACTGTATCTCATCTCAACTCTCTTCCTTCTTTTCTTATCAAGTCCCCTACTCCACGGATCAGTATGAGAACCAACATAGCACGCAAGTCAGGTCTCCATACTCTCCCAGTTGAACTGGTGGCGGAAATTGTCAAGTTTACCGAGTCTCTTGATCTATGCGCTCTTCGACTTACCTGCCGAGCGATTTATCAGAGCAGCCTTCGCCAGTTTGCACACACTTTTGTACACACATTGAGGACCGATCTTTCACCAAATTCACTTGTCCGGGTCGAGGAAGCAGCCAATGACGAGATGTTTTGTCCCTGTGTCCGCAAGCTAGAGATCGTCAGGGATTCAAAGGGCTACCTAGGACCATTATCCCCTGATGCCACATCAAAAAGGATCTATATTCAAGCGTGGTGCGATGTGATAAAACGCCTGTCCAACTGCCGGTCTTTCGAGCTGCACAATTTAAGTTATACAACACCGTACGCGTACAGCCATGGCATCACGCTTGACGAAGCCACTGGTCTTGTTCTCAAAGCCATCGCTAATGAGCAAATTCCGATGGAATATTTCTCAATCAGCATTGTGAAAAGCAGAACCAGAGTGTTTCAGGATAAGCTAACACAATTTGATATTGCCACTTTTGGTATCCCGGCCTTTTCCCACCTCAAGGAACTGTGCTTTGCAATCCCCGATGCCGAGACCAAGACTATACATTGGATGGCGAAAATGATCCAATGTGCCAAATCTCTCAGAAAGCTGACGATTATTTTCAACTGGAAGTGCGAATCAACTTTCCTTCTCTCCCAGCTTTCGTCGGCTGGGTGCTTGCCAGAACTGCAAGAATTGACTTTCTCGCGAATGTCATTCGAATCTTCGGCTGCTTTGGGCATCTTTCTTTACAGTATTCAAGATTCTATTCGCCATGTGACATTTTCTTTTGTACAACTGGAGCTTGGGGGCTGGCGGTCCATTCTCCGCGAGTTGGGTGGAGGCTCGTACCAGCTTGACAGTGTGATTCTGCATAGTGTACTTGAAGCGAATGGGTTTTTGAACTTTAGGAAAATTCCAGAATACTCCCTCGCGGAAATTTCGCTAGACAAGAGACTATATCGTCCGTTCCAATTTTGCTTTGTTAAAACGGAGCATACGGGCTTCAGCTACTCGGGTCCGGCTTTACCAAAGGTTTTACAGAGAGTGGCTGCCCTTGCAGAGCTGCCCTAGGGAAATTTGGTAATGCTCTCGGCACGGACAGACTACGGAGTCTGGTACGGTGAAAATGAGGAGGTTGCTTTAAATGTTATCATTGTGGAAGCGAAGAAGACGGATTCAGAGTCGGGCGTGGCCCAAGCCCTAGGGTATATGGGTAAGTGGTTGACAATATCCATTAAAGTAAACTTGGCTAGGGATGCTGACTGATTTAACAGGCTATATACCGAGAGAAGAAGTGCATCCCCAAGCAAGACTACATACGGCAGTAAAAATTCAAGAAACTCGCAAGGAAATTTTCGATCTCGACGAGTTGTTTGCTAGTTTATCATGCTAGCCTTGACTACTTGCTCAGAAGCCATACGCCGAAGTCATTGACAACACTTCGGTAAAGAGGATATCCTCGGAAGTGCTTTATGTTTGTAATCAAATCTTGTAGGTACCCGCGTACCGATAACTTCTTTCTCATATAATCACAGGATATCAACTAGCATGGAAGTTCTCGTGATCTAAACAGCCTTTCCATTTCTACCAACATGTTTAACGGTGACATGCTGTCCATTAGAATCTTCGTAGACGACCGTAACGTGTTCCGGTGCGTTGGGGTCTGTACCACCAGTGTGCCAAGTGTTTTCTCCTCTTTTCGAATGTAAGTTGTGAGCTGAGAGGGGGAGAGAAAGGGGGGTCACGAGCTCAGGTCTCGGAGTACAGTTCACTCTTGCGGAGGCTATATCTCTAGTGTCCGTCTTGCTGTATGCAATCACTGCTTGGTCCACTGAGTCGGTCCGTTTGATAGGATTCGTGTATTCGACATCATTAGCGCTTGTGAGCATGACTCAGGAGAGTTGTATAACATATACGGGTTAGAAGGATTGGATGTCAAACGGCCGAAGAGGAAAACTTGCGAAAAGATTTACTATTCAATTATAGAGGTGGGAGTGAACAAGACATATACATATATCTATTTCATCGTATGCTGCGGGGCACGAGGCCCAGCCTTGTACATAGGTATCATTATCTACTCCGTACCAGCCATCTGTTTGACCTGGGGATGCAAAAGTTGGCCAGCAGTGCTGCACACAAATAAAGATGTTGCTTGTTCGTATTCGTGGATTTTCTTCCGCTTATAATTATTTTTGACTAGCTACATATTTGGGCGGTTTTACTCGTATTTGATCTGTGCTAAGACTGCTGGATATATAGGCACGTCGTGTCACCTGGCTCCGGGAGCGCGATTGTTGAGAGACGCTGTCTCGTCCGATACTGATCCTGGGTAATTCTGTGCGATGTGCTTGGGAATGCATCATCGTAAAGTCTTCTGCTGGATGGTGATTAGGATTCCTAACCTGTAAGTTCCATTTATCATAACTTTGATTGCACATAGCCTAATCGGGGATCTAGTTCACCGAGTGGGCTTGATTTTCGTCATTTTGGTCTATCTGGGGCATTGTGTCTATCGAAATAGCTTTAGAGTTGTCGATCCAGTTTGACACCGCTACGCCTTTTCTATGCTTACAATCTGCATTATCTATCGCAGGAATGCATTTTAATTCGGACTGCATTTAGTCCTTTTCAACCGACGGACTCCGTAGGAATGAATAGATTAGACCATTTTACAATTTCAATTTCATAATTACAAAGTAGTAATCCATTGCAAGGGTACCATTCAATACATGCACGCTCAGACCTAACTATATACATAGGGCTCTAGGGCTGACTTACTGTACTAGCTACTCCGTACAGAACCCCCTTTGGACTTGGAAGACTAATCAACGTTGACAATTGGCTCACGACTTTAGTGCAATAATATAGAAGTGGATTGTGTCAAACAAATATATAAAGGAATATGGACCTGCGCATTTTCAGTAGTACTTGAGTCTTGACCTCATGAACGTTCGTTGGGCTGACTTTACCGCCCAGAAACCACGCCAGTCTTATTTGGACGAACTGAATCGACCCCCTTGAGAAGACATCTAGGGATAAGAGGCGTAGCCAAGTCTATTTGCATATTTTCACTATTGTCTGCCGCTGCAACTGTGACTCCTGCTGAGCTTCAGCTTTTCAACTCTCACCTTCATTACGGACGTCGTTCTATTCTCCGAGATGCCCGACAATACCAACGACAATATCGAGGAAGGCACGCAGGTGTACCGACCGGGAGGATTTCACCCTGTTTATATCAATGATGTCTTTAAAGACCGGTACAAGGTCCTGAATAAGATTGGATATGGTGTCTATTCGACAGTCTGGCTTGTCAGAGACCTACAGCCGGTACAGTGAGTAGAATCTTTTTAGAAAAAGGGAATAAATAGAGATAACACACGCAAACAGACCTGGCATTGAAAATGAGTTCCGAGCTCTGAAGGTGCTCAGCGCCGAGTGTTATGATGGCACGCAAGCCCCCATTTTCGAACGGGAGATCTTGACTCATCTCCAGAACGGGGACCGCAATCAGCTGGGCTACAACCACGTCTGCCATCTGCTAGATGACTTTGAGCACCACGGACCTAATGGAACTCACGTCTGCTTGGTTTTTGAGCTGATGGGCGAGACGCTACGGAGCTTCGGCGCTTGGTTCATTGAAAGTAGACTTCCGAACTCGGTGATGCGCAGGTTCACCATCCAACTCCTACTGGCGCTTGATTTTGCTCACGAACATCATGTTATTCATACAGGTATGATATGCTCTTTCATCCTTGGTCATTATGATATATGACATGCTAATATTTCTTGTCTACGATCAGATATAAAACCGGATAACATTTTCGTCAAGTTTAGGGATTTTTCCCTTATAGAATCTGGTTATCTGGCCGAGGTCGCCATTCCCAAACAGAATCGGTCCGAGGAACAGTACTCAGTCATCCCCTCAATCCCCTTACGCCGCTATTACTTCAACGAAACTGACAATACGCGCGTTGCTGAATTTGATATTGCCCTTGGAGACTGGGGCGTCTCCAGCTGGGAAGACCGACATCTCAGCGAGATTATACAGCCTGTAGCGCTTCGATCTCCCGAAGTTCTAATACAGGCCCCGTGGGACGCGAGCACCGACTGGTGGAACCTCGGGTGTGTCGTATTCGAGGTCTTCCGGGCAGTTCGCATGTTCAGCGGATCGGCCCCGCCAGACGGCCATTATGAGCTCAAGGAACACTTACGAGAGATTGTGGATCTATTCGGGCCATTTCCTAAGGAGCTTTTAGGGAGAGGAAACAAGGACATTGTTCAGGACATATTTGATGATAATGGCCGGATCAAGAACTCGCTGCCAATGAACCGGCCGGGGCTGGCGTCGGAAGCATTCCTGCCAGGTCTCGACCAAGGCGTCAGGGATGAGTTCGTCTCCTTTTTGCACGCGATGATGAAAATCAATCCCACTGATCGAATTTCCGCTGAGGACCTCTTGCGACACCCTTGGCTGGGTGCACTTCGGTAAAAGGAGTTCTTTTAGGCATCTAAGCCTGATGCATAATCAAGACAGCTCTCCTGCACTTTGCATGAGTACTTGATAGACACCGGAAGACACAAAAAAACGAAATGAATTATATAAGAATAGTGTTAACTGCGAATGCGGTGATTAAAAAAGCTGTTCTATGTTAATAATCTACAAGCAATGCCTAATATACATCTCAACTGAGCTTCAAAGCTTTGATGATCCGCGGAAAGATCGTCAAGGCATTCAGAGTATCGATCTGACTCATCTCCACCGCGGTAAAGTTACCATTACCCTCAATCGCGGCTAATCCCGACGTTGCCTGGGAGACAGGAACATACGGATCTGTATGTGTTATTATACTGCAGCTGTTTTGGGGCTGTTACTGGCACTGCCCACTTACAGTCAGTTCCAGTCACAATCTGATCCACGCCAACAAAGCTCTTCAAAGCCGTCAACTGAATAGCAGAAGTCGAGGAAGCGGTATCAAAATAATATCCGGCGAGTTGCGCCAGGGATTCAACGACCGACAGCCCACCCAACCAGGAAAGGGAGGCCATGCCGGCGATTCGGGTGGCCAAGAATGGGATTGCACCACCACCGTGGGCAAAGATCATCTTGATATCCGGATATTGTGCACGTTGACCAGTCAGCAGCAGGTTCTCAATGGCACGCACGGTGTCGAAAGGATACTCGGTCATCGGGATGGGCCAGCCTTGGGCGACGGATGTGCAGTCTGGAGAAGCTGGGTGAACAAACACGCTGGCATTGCGTTTGTGCAAGGCCGAGAAAACAGGGTCAAGGGCTTTGTCACCCAAATACGTCCCATTGGCGTTGGTGTACAGCCCCACGCCAACAAACCCGAGCGTATCCAGGCAAAACTACGAATTCCAAGTTAGATTTGACCAGATAATCTACTAGGGGAAGAAAAGAAGGGTACCTTCAACTCCTCGACCGCCTCGCCGACGTAAGGGAGAGGGAGAAGGCAGAGGGCTCCAAGTCGAGTCGGATGAGTTCGAGAATACTTATGAAGCAGGAGGTTGACGCTGCGAGCCAAGGATTTGGCCTTTTTGGCATCTTTTAGGAAGAAGACGCCAGGGGCGCTGACACTGATTGTCGAATAATTAACTCCAAGGCTGTCCATGGTGCTAATGTGTGCATCCAATGTCCAATCTGGGACAGGGAAGCCATCTGTATACAAAGTACCATTCTTGACTGGGTAGCCTGCAGAGATCAATTCCTCCTTCCAAATCGACGGAACGACATGGGAATGAACATCGATCTTATAGTTCGAGCCAAGGGAATCACTGATGGCATGGCTGCTAGCTAGACATGCCAGGGGAATTGTTAGCAGGAGGTTCTGCAAAAGAGAAGGCATCAGGATCATTGAACGTCGAGAAGTGTGTGTATTGTAAACAAAGTGAAACCAAAAAAGGCTATTCAGAGTAGATTAATTTTCTACAAGGATTATAACATCCCTTTTATTGCCCAGCCCAAGCAATCGGAAGGTGTAATTTCTTTTTAAAGTGCCAAGGTGATAAAGGTGGATCGTTCATTACTACTACTCCGTACTAGCAGATCCTGTAGAATATAACTGGTGATAACACCGAGGTTAGCGCCCTTGTCCAAGCGCTTCACACTGGCATTCGCTCCCTGCAGTCTGCTTATCCACCGGGATAAAACGCCGGATCTATGCCTCGACATCCGCATGCAAGCCGGCCACGCAAGCACACATAGTAAATGCGGTAAATTACAACTTGATGCTCGCATGTGAAATATGCTAGAGTCTTTCCTAGTAGTAACTAGCTCAATCCTTAAGCGAAAGCAAGACGGGCGGAGATTACGACAGCCGGTCTCTGTGATTAGATTAAATTAGTGTTTGGGGGCCACCCGGAAGTATGATTTATGCCCGAAAGAATAAGCCCTAGATCCATGGGTGCAAAAGGCCAATGCATACCTCGAAGGATCCCGGGGATAAAAATTAGTTCATATGGGGCCTAAGACCCGTCCTCTTTTCAAGGACATCAACATATTATGGAGACGCTCTTTCAGACGCGATCTGATGTAAGTAAAGGCTCAGAGGAAGAGCAGTCTCCCAGAGCTTTCTCTAACTGTCTCTTTAGGTTGAGAACCGTGGGCCTATATTGCTGATCATCAACGGCACGGTGACGGGCCTCGCGGCACTCATTGTAGGCCTTCGTACAATTTCGAGGATCTTCATCGTGAAAATGTTTGGCCTAGACGACTGGATAATGGTGACTGCGACGGTTCTGGCAATTGTGAACGTGGTGGTTGCGGGACTTGGTACGCCTTCTACTTCTTATATGGTTAATTCGTCTCTTATATGTGAGTAGGAGTCAGGTATGGAACAGGAAAGCATAAATGGGATCTCGTTAAAGCAGATGTGCTACCTTCGGCGAAGGTATGGGCAGAATGATAACTGTCATAACGCAATTGGAAAGAAGAGGCTAACCAGTCTCAACAATATAGATTCGATACGTGACTCACATTATTTATACCTTAATCAGCGGTCTGATCAAAGTATCAATCTGTCTGCTATACCTACGCGTATTCCCTAACATCCGAGTAATCTGCCTTGGAACCATCGCACTCGTCACGGCCATGAGCGTCGCCATTATCCTCGCAACGATATTCCAGTGTACCCCGGTCAATGCCGTCTTCGATGAACAGAAATATGAACATCATACCTGCTTTGCATCTATCCCATTTTGGTATGCGGGTGCCGCGCTTTCTCTGGTGACGGATATTTGGATTCTTCTCTTGCCACTGAGAACAGTTCTAGGTTTGTGGTCACCGATTCGCTCTAGTTATTACTCTAATCAATTTCAGGTCTTCATCTCAAAACTAGCAAGAAATTTGCCGTCGCTGCTTTGCTATCACTAGGGTCGTTGTATGTCCAGGGCGTGATTTAATTTGATATGCATTAGTGCTAACTAGATAAAAGTGCGTGTATAGCCAGCATTGTGCGGATAGTCTACATTGTGAAATTATACCAAAGCTCAGACCCCTCCTGGGACACCTTTGGGATCTCTATTTCTTCGGGAATCGAGATAGCTGTCGCTATCATCGCTGCTAGCATCCCGGCAACCAATCCGATCATGAATAAGCTGTTTCCAAGGCTATTTCCAAGCAGCTCTGGCGGCTCACAGTCAGCCAGTCGCCGAGGCTATCATCCAGGTAGTCGAATTGAAAGTACTTCACGCCGCTATCAAAGTAATAGCATTCCGCTCTCACGTTTCACAAGGAGACAAGGAAGTGATACGGATGATGAGTCTACGAAAGCGATAATGCATGCAAACTGACCATGATATGAAAAGCCTTGAAGGCAACTAGGAGAGAGAATAAGACTGTATTGTATATATCGACAGGACTCGCTCGGAAAAAAACAAGAGGAAGGGAAGAGGAAAGACGATGAACTAAATAATGATATTGAGAAAGAATATGTACATATACGGGGCTCATCGAATTATCCAGACCCAGGATATCTTGCTTCCCCTATCAACCTTACTTAGCCTTTAAAAGGGCTGCTCAATCCAACGTCCAGGAAATTGCCCATAGCGTTCGTGCTGTAACTCCGTCTGAATAGTGCGGGGTTGTTGAGATGGTTTCATTGTCTGGGAATATTCATCGTAGACCCGGTCAAGATTGAATAATTGAAGCGAAGCGGAGCAATATTAAATCACTCTTAGGTGTGTGTCATATGACCAAGGAGTAGTTACGGAGTATGGGTGATAGGGTTTTATGCACAAGTCCCAAAATGGCTAGCTCGTTAATTATGCACCAATAAAAATGCATTTATACCATAGGGTTACCCCACATACTGCATTAGGCATATAAATGCCAAGATCCATGTAACAACTCATGTAAATGAAGGAATTGGCGAGGGATGCGGCTGAAGCTGAACTTGAAGCTACATTACCGGCCAGATATGTTACTCCCGGGAGATGGTATTTAGACAGCTTGGTGGCTATAGGTGTAATGAGGTCGGTATGTTGTGGTCGGAGGACTGGACGGTGGCTGGTCACGAGATCTTTTAGCAGGTTTGGGGGATGGAACTCGTTTGCCAAGGCCCCGAGATGAACAATCCTAAGTCCTGATAACCTCCGTATCAGAGAATTTAGTTGAGGCAAGTGTAGATTATATTAGGCGAATATGGGAAATTCCAGTTCTTGCCTCCGTTGGCTTAAACACATAAGAGCTTGCAATTATGGGAAATAGATGAGCAAGCAACGTTCCGTATGTAGCAAATAACTCTCTATCATTGTAACGTATAAACGTGGCAACATAGCGATCCCGCATTTCATATCATCGGCCGGTCTTCTCTGTCCTCCAATTCTACCACCGCGTCATCATCCCTCCCTTCGAGAATATCCGAATGCTCCGGTTGCCTAGGCATCGTGCGGTCACGCGGTCGGACCGGCCGGCGAGAGATCTTACCAGACACAAACGCAGCGGCAGTCTGGATGAGCCGCCACAAGCGATCTTCCAGTGTTTCAGGGGCAGGGTTGTTCAGCTGCCCACCAAGCGCACTATATTGAGAAGAACTCGTTGCGGCCAGTGTATGTTCCTCGGCTTCGACCTTGAATTGATACTTCAAGCAGTCCTTGACGGTGACCAAGCCGATTAGTTTGCCGCGGTGCTCGACGAGAATGACTCGCGGGCCCATCTTCTTGAAAATCTCCATGACCGTTTCGAGAGGATGGCGCGGGTGAACGGTCAGTGGCGTGTGGTCGACATATCGCGAGAAATCCACGAAAGAAGCCCCCACACTCCTCTGAATTGCATCGAATGTATCTGATGACCGAGAGTGGTGCGAGACGGACGCCCTGCGTGCAACGGCTGCCTCGGCTGCATCTTTGGTGAACACGCACCGGGCATTTGGCGCAACCATTCCCTGGTTGCGGGCGCGGTCGATCGCGTATCGGAGTTCGGTTCGGCCGATGTATCCAACTAGGGTTTTGGAAGTGCGGTCCTCCACGACA